AAAGGTTACCAGTGACCTCATAATTGCTAAATCTCTTCCTCCATTCCTATTGTCTTGACCTCACTGTTTCATCTAATGATGTGTCTGCCTCCTCTTTGGGACTCCCACTTCCTCTTTCTGCTTCAGGAATGCAGCACCAGCCTGGCTGTCCTCTAAACTTCTTTGACTTTGTTAGATATCCTGGCACTAAATACATGTCTGATATTTATTAATATCAGCAATCAATATCACAGGTTTACTAAACTTTATCTCATTTGAGTCCCATGAAAATACTGAGCTGAATGAAAGACAGAAACAATTATCTCTAAGCCTTACATTGGTTTTTCCATCAGAAAGTGAAACTTTTGGGGGCGCCTGGGTGGCTCAGTCGTTAAGCGTCTGCCTTCGGCTCAGGTCATGATCTCAGGGTCCTGGGATTGAGCCCCGCATCAGGCTCCCCACTCCCCCCTGCTTGTGTTCCCTCTCTTGCTGTGTCTCTCTCTGTCAAATAAATAAATAAAATCTCTCTCTCTAAAAAAAAGTGAAACTTTCTTTATGAATATGGTTTGGGTCATTAATAATACAGTCCTCTTTACCTGCAACAGGACCTAGCTTTTCTAGTTTCTAATTTCCCAGGTTTGTGTGTGTGTGTGTGTGTGTGTGTGTATGAAATTCATGATTCTTGAGTTGTGAGCAAAGGGAAGAGTTTTATTTTTTATTTTATTTTTTTAGTAGGCTCCATGTCCAGCTTAGAGCCCAACATGGGGCTTGAACTCATAATACTGAGATCAAGACCTGAGCTGAGATTAAGAGTTGGATGTTCAACTGACTGAGCCACCCAGGTGCCCCAGGAAAGAAGTTAAAAAAAAAAAAAAAAAAAGGAAAACAAGGCCTAAGTGAAGATCCGGGGGAGGTTGAGGAAAGATTTTAGAAAACTGGAGAAACTTGTTTATAAGATGAACTACTTTTGCATATCCTGAGGACATTATCTCTGTGATCACTCTGAGATATTTAAGCCAATGCCTTTACACACTTGCTTAAAATTGCTCAATGTTAAAAGGCACAGTTGCAAGATAAGAAAGCTGTGGTTCCATCTTAGTACCATATTACAGAGGTCATACAAAGCCATTCCATTAGAGACTGTGTAGCTCAAACCTGCATTTTAAGGACGAGAAGAGTCTGTCCCAGAGAAGTTAAATGACCCATGCAAGATCATCCAACAACTTATTTTCAGTCAGGACTAGAACTTGAATCTAAAATGTGTGTGTTAGTATTATTTCTCTTCCATAGTTTAGCTAAAGGGTCAGGCTGTCTGTTTGTAAAAATACATTTACTTGCGGCCTTTTCAAAACCAAATGAGTCAGAATCTCTGGGAAGGTAAGGCCCAAATGTCTACTTTTCTGAAGCTGACCAAGTGATTTTCAAGCAGCCATGGATGGGTGAGAACATGTGTCTTGCCAGCCAAACAACAAAATATTAACAATTTACATAAATAATTCCTTATAGAGAGGGTGCATTGCAAGATAGAGTATAATCTTATTTATTTGTAATTTTATTGGCGAGATTTTCCAAGTCAAGTATTTTCTCTTCAGATCGTATAAATCTTTTGCCTTTTACCAGTAATATACAATACAATTAAAGTAAAGACTTTAATAGTTATTGTTTTGTTGCTTTTGCTAGCAATTTCTTGTTTGTGAGTGGTAGTGCTAAACAAAGAAAAGAGTATCAATCATAAAACACTCCCAGGATTTTTGTGGCATTCCATTCTGTCTTCTAGATATTTTTACCCCTGGAGTCTTCATAAAGTAAAGTTTATTGAGACTTAAATTTAGAAACTGATTCAGGTAACTTTGGGAGATTGAAAGACAAGATAGTTTCAAGCTGAAATGTCTGTTGTGTATAGTTTCTCCTTTTTCCACACCTAAGAAGAACATTAACATTCGAAACTTCTAAAATCATGTAAATCCATATGTAATCCTATAATGATCACACAAATGATTTAGCAATACAATGCGAAGTTTCTCAAAGGCCGATTTGTGATGGTATGAGACATAAAATATTTGTTGAGTGACCAAACATGAGATGATCATTGAATCAATGACTCTGTGAAAGTTAACATTTTAATGTAAAATGTTGAAGGAGTAGCCGCAGGGATGCGGGCCACGATTGGTTGATGACAAGCAAGTAGGCGTTAGCTCAATGTGAAACAGCAATGCTTTAAATAGGGATAGCTGCATTCCTAATTCATCATCACTACGTGTGTGATTAATGCTCTGTGGGCACGCATGAGTGATGGGAGGGGAGGCTTTTCTATTACTAGGGCACAACTCAGGGCAAGTCCAAGCAGCAGCAACCTCAGCAGCGGCAGCTCCTCAGATCATATCGTATCTGGATCTTTTTACATTCTGGGATTCTAGAGTCATTTTTCGGAGGATTCCGTTGCTAGATTCACAGATGCCATTTTAATGTGACATTTTTAGAATAACATGTTTTCCATAAGCACAATGAACAGTAAAAAAGTGAGATTAACAAGTGCTTTGACATTGGAAGCTGGAAGACTGACACTCGTGATTTTCTCCCTTTGTGTGTGTGTGTGTGATTTTCTCCTTAATAGGAAAATAACAACATAGATGTTCTTCCTAATAAAAGGGTATAAAAACTATCTGCAAAGGGACATGAATGCTCTTTGCAAGTTATCGGAGACTAGAGACCCCCAGAATCGTGGGTTTTAATGAAAATATATGACAGCGTGGCACATAGGGCAAACCCCGCATTTTCAGGGCACTAAATGTTACACATCAAACCAATGGAGCGTGTGGTGAGGAGCATAGTGCTGGCTGGCATCAGGCTGTCTGATCTGAATCCTGTCTCTGTTGCTTATGAGCTGAAGGGCCTTGCACTAATTTCTTAATCTTTTTTGCCTTAGTCTCATCTGTAAAGGGGGAATAAAATATAGGGTTACATTGAGGAATAAGTAAGCAAATGTATCTTAAGCTTCCGAGTGAGTTCAAAATGTTAGTTATGAATATTATTTGCTATTAGTAGTAGTAGTATTAGGCTCGTCTCATTTAGATTTAAGAACAAATAACTACTTTCATGTTCCTTTCCACCTATAGTTCTGAATCCAAATTAAACTACAAACAGAAAATATTGTTTTTAGTGACTCTGCTCATCTAATCAGCGAATTAGCCAACCACACCATTCATTCAACATTTAAATGCTATGTAAATTTTTAAATCTGTTGGAATCACTTATTTTTTTATAGATTTTATTTTTAAGTAATCTCTATACCAACGTGGGACATGAACTCACAACCCCGGGGTTGAGAGTTGCATGCTTTACTGACTGAGCCAGCCAGGCGCCCCAGAATCACTTTTAATTTAAGAATAACCTCAGATTATCAGGTCAATCAATGAGAAAATGTAATTTACTATTTAGTAGACATGAAAGCATTCTCAAGTTCTATTTTTTTTCTACTTCTTTAATTATACACTGAAAGAAAGACAAGGGAAATTTCCATTTTGAATTCTTTTTTTTTTTAAGATTTTATTTATTTATTTGAGAGACAGGAGAGAGAGCACAAGTGGAACGGAGGGGCAAAGGGAGAGGGAGAAGCAGACGTCCCTCCCCCTGCTGAGCAGGGAGCCAGATGCGGGCTCAGATGCGGGCTCAGCCAGATGCGGGCTCAGTCCCAGGACCCTGGGACTCTGGGACCATGACCTGAGCCAAAGGCAGATGCTTAACCAACTTAGCCACCCAGATGCCCCTCCATTTTGAATTCTTAAACTACTTCTCAATTAAAAATGAATTAATCCAGAGAAAAAGACCCTTTTTAAAAAGTCTATGATAGAGGCTATTTAAATAAAAGAGACTATCACTACATTCAATATGTGTTTCTCCTTTTCTCTGTTTTATCTCTAGGTGGATTAAAAGTTCTTTGGATTCAGGGAAGTACCTGTATATCTCTATTGACCTATATCAATATAATAATGCCATTACAGAGACATTCAATAAATATTTGCTGAACAAATGAATAAATGAGACATGTGCCTAAATAGCATTGTATTCTGTTGATTGTTGGTCAAGGAGAAAAGCAAAACAGTCACTGTGCCATGGAAGTTATGGGGAAATAGGGAGCCCAGAATTTTGCTTGGAAATTTGTGCTTTATTTGTATTTTATATGATATTATTTAATTTAAGCATATATGTAAGTAATTATCATAAAAGACATAAATTCTTCAGTCAAATGGAACTTGTTAAAAAGGCCCCATATAACTAAATTTAGAATAAAATCCGTTTTTTCAAAAGTTGGCATCTGACAGAATAGAATTCATGTTCAAGTTCTCTTATTATTTTTTTTAAAGATTTTATTTATTTATTTGAGAGTCAGAGAGAGAGAGAGAGAGAGAGAGCAGGGGGAGGGACAGAGAGAGGAGAGAATCTCAAGCAGACTCTTCCCCGAGCGTGGAGCCAGACTTGGGGCTCAATCCCAGACTTTGAGATTATGACCTGAGTCAAAGTCAAGAGTCCAATGCTCAGCCGACTTGAGCCACCCAGGCAGGTCTTATATTTTAAATATTAAATTTAGCAATCTGATCTTGGACACTTTCCTGGATTTGTCAATGCCTTCCCTGTATTAAAGCAACCCAATACCATTCCATCTCTGTGGTTCTTGTGAAGGACTAGCTAATAAAAGACTTTAAACATTTTGTATCATATAAAAGCTAATTCACCAAAGTAGGTATGCTTAGTTGCCAGTTTGAAAAGCAGTGATTTCATAATAAACAAGTGCCATCTGCAGTCCCAAAAGGCGCTAACTTGAGGGAAAAAGCAAGAGATGAAAGAATTGCAAACTTTCTCAGTTCTCGTCTGAGGCTAGACGCTGGCTCTCTGGTCAGGCCCCAGGGTCCCCTCTGGCTGTGGTCGGTCGTGCTGATACCAGTCTGGGCCTATATGTGTACGCCACCAGTCCAGGTTCCTCACAAGCCTTATTTTTAGGACATATCCTCCCCCTGTCCCCCATGGTGGTTACAGGTTAGTTATGTATCAACTGAAAAACATACACCACCAAGCCACCTTGAATTCAGGATCAATTTAAAATGAATATATTTTAATCATCACAATAAAGGCTCAATACGTTAAACCAGCATTAGATAGATATATTACATATTTAGTTTATAGATAATACCTAGACTTACTAACCCCTTGGAAAAATAATCGCAATGCAGTGTTGCTCAGATTGGGAACTACTGATCTAACTGATGTCTCTAAGTCACTTCCCAGCTAAGAAATTCCCCATGACTTGATTATTGTCTTCTTGAACTGTCCTATCTTCAACTATGTTTTGTGCCTTTAAGAGGAATTATGATTGTACTTCAGACTATGTATATATATATTTAAATGAACGATTCATGAAAATCGTTCCCAATTATTAAAAAAAAAAAAAAAGAAGAAGACTGTTTTGCAGAGGCAGCGACAAATATTCCCTGATGTGTCATGACGGAGTCATTCTCAAAAACTAATGGCTAGAAAATTGAGTAAACATAGAACCAATAAGGAAAAGATTTCTTCACACCATGTGAAATCAGCACAGAGGAGAGCACACTGCCATGGAAAATTTTGGGAGAAGCACAGGGATTTTTTCGTGATGACATCTCATGCTTGCAAGGTATCAGCTACAAAGTGAAAAAATTCCTCCCCACATATCAATACCACGGAGTTGACTGTTGCACCCTGACCCCATTCTCCCCAGTGCCTTCCCACCCCATCCTTCTTTTGAGCACAAAGCACGATACCATATTTGATGAAACAGGACATTAATCAGGACTAATAAGATTCTTCTTCCTGTCACTCCTTGCAAGTTATCTAACAGCATCTTTGTGCAGAATAAGGAAACATTTCCAGCTGACACCCCATTCTTAAGAATTCTGCTCTAGTTTTTGAGACCCCTGAGCTCTTTCTTTTCCCAATGCAATCTGTAAAAAGGCATTATGTAGCCAGTGGTGGGTCCCTTTTCCAAATTCACATTTACCAAACTTTTGATCCCTATCAATGCTCCAGAAAGCTAACCCATGACTACGATCATCTTTCCTGGCTCCATGAGTTCTTTTACAAAAGAGCAGCTAAGTGAGAAGTCGCTTACTGCCTGTTTTCTGGGTAGATTCAGAAGCTAGACTTAGAAACTCAAAATCCTATCTCTAACCTACCGTTCATTAATTCACTTAACTCATGAATACTGACCAAGTACCATCATCCTATGCATCAGTGTTGATGTACAATAATAAGTATTTTAAATGCATGTGAGCTCTGTGCTAGGCACTGTGGCAAGCACTTTCATTATCTTCCTATGAGTTAGATCCTATTATTATCCGTATTTTACATATGAGGAAACTGAGAGAGATGTAAGTTGTCCAAGGATTCACATGCAGACAAGTCTAGATGCAAAACCCATGATCTCCACCACTGAGAGGAGGATGAAGTAGTTGTTTCCAATGTGAGAGTTCTGGACATTACCAGGCACCCCTTGGGGTGAGGAAGAAAAAGGCCAAGATTAAAACAAACAAACAAACAAACAAACAAACAAACAAACAAACAAGCAAACCACAAAAGAGAAAAGAATGAATAAGAAGAAAACCATTAAAACGTAGACAGGTAAGGAGCTATCATCACCCAGCAGATTCTACTTTCTATTCAAATATGTTTTCATTACTGCTAAATTGACTCACTTCTTATGCCCCACAGGGAGTACAAGAAAAGGTAAGACAATTTATGTATTCATACAGATCTGAACATAAGGCTTACGAACAAGAAAAACAAAACAAAATAATAGAAAATGGTTTCATCACATATGAAGTGCCAGATCTAGAATTCTATGAGCCTAGGGGGCAGACAAACAATACAAGCTGTAAGAGGTCCGAGTGAAAAGAGATACCTGTGGGCTCAAGAAATCCAGGCCCTTCGGGAGTAACAGCAAACTGAGAAGGATTTCACTAGCGCCAGGAAAAAGCAGCCATTGCCCCATCCGCAAAGGCAGGAGAGCGGGAGTAAGCAAAGACATAGAGTTTTCCAGCCTGGCTGAGGCCAGTGAGACCGTTTGTCTGGTGAACTAGTAGTGGGAGCCGAGGTTGAAAAGACTGGTTTGGTCCACATCTTGACAGGCCTCGTTTGAAAGGCAACGGGACGTCATGGAAAGATTCTGTACGGGGGCGAGAGCGGACTGCGGCAACATTCGGCGAAGCAAAAGCAGCAGGCTGATGGATGGCAAACAGGAGAGAGAAAAGCTAATTTAGGGCTTCTCCTCATGACTCCACTTTGAAGCCATAAATGCCTGCCCCGAGCTGGAAGCCGAGCTGCTGGGAAGGAAGGTGTAGACGGGAAAGACAAACTTCAAGTCCCTCCCGCGCACGGCTCTCCAAAAGCGCCTACTGGAATGCCAACCCTGGCTGGTGGACGGACGGATTCAAGTTAGGCCTGTCACCCAGAGCAACTAAAGCCACCCACTCCAGGGCAGGTGACCCCACAGAGCAAACCGATCCATCTGGTCCACGCTCGCCACCTCCTCCCGCAGAAATCGGAGAAGCAGATGGAAAAGTTTGGGGAGTAGTCCCCGGCTAACCAGAAGGGCACTTTTTCATTCCTCAAGCACTCTCAGGTGTTCAGAAAGGGAGGATGACATCCGGACAGTCTCCGGCCACTCCTCCCCCGCGGCCTATTACGAAACTCTGGGCTCTTTGTACCTCACCCCGCTACTATGTCCCGGGGCCGTGGCCCCTCCCCGGAGCTATAAAGGTCGCAGCGCCCGGCCGTGGAGCTCACTCGCCGGACACACCGGCTGTCAGAGGGACGCGGCCGTCGCGTGGCCCCTGCAGGCTCTGTCCGCCGCGCTCCAGCCGCCGCGCCGCAGCCCCGCGCGTTCCCGGCCCCGCCCCGCCGGTGCGCCCGCCGCCCGCCGCCCGCCGCCCGCCGCGGGAAGGAGGATGGAGCCGCGCCGCGCCGGCCGCGTCCCCGCACTGCTGCTGTGCCTGGGTAAGAGCTCGCCCGCCCCGCCCCGCCGCCCCCGGTCGCGACAGCCCGGAGCTTGCCCCCAGGCTGAGGGGGACCCCGTTTCAAACGACGACTCCGGTTCGGCGCGTGCGGGTGGCCCTCTAGCCGGGGATGGACTGCGGTGGGGTGGGGAAGGGGGCAAAGCGGGGTTACAAATGTCTTTCATTGAAAAATGAACTATTGTTACGCAGCAGGAATTAATGCAGCTCCGTAATAGGCAAAATAAAAAGTTGGAGAGCCTTTGTTTCTTTCTTTTGGAGCTGCCAGTTCTAGAAATCCGGAGACCGGGGAAGCACTATTCACATTTCAGGTTTTGCTCTTTCTTGTTGCGGGGAGGGGGCGGGAGTAGAGACCAGAGCCGCGCAAGAGAGACCTTTCGGAAAGAAATGCTTTTCCTCCTGTCTCCACCGCAGTTTTCTCCGGCAAGTCTGGTTGAGTTTCCGGGGGCGCGGGCGCACGCGGGTGGCAGCTTTGCGGGAGCTCCGGGAGCCACAGAATTAAAACCTTGTCCTTGCCTGCCTGGAGCTGGAGGGGCCGGGGCGGGTCCTGGCGCTGCTCCCAGCCCCCAGCCCTTCACCTTGAGGCTTCCTTCCGATTTCCTCCCGAAAGCCCGCACCCGGGGAGGCTGGGCCGGCACTTTTCTCTTGCTGCTTATTGCTCCCCATCGCCTGTAATTGATGAGTGCATTTTAATGCCTGCCTTTCTATTTGAGATGATTTAGTTCTTGTGGACAGGAAAAGAAATCCTTCGTGAGCCTTCTGGTTTGAAAAAAGAGATATCGTTTCTGTCTAATTCCTCATATGTCAAGAGGAATTCGGCGGTCTATAGGAAAATTTTAATAAGGAAATAAAAGTTGCCAACCTCACATTCCTTCTGGGGATCAGTGGGGCAAATTCCCCTAACAAATTAACTCTACCTATGCAGGATGTGACAGTTAAATTATTATGTCGACACACCTTATCTCAGGGCTTGGAGACCTAATGACATGCATACTATGCATAGTTGGAACTTACACGTGTTTAGGAACAGAAGTAGAAACTGGATCTGTGGTTTCTGCCAAAACTGTGTTAAGGGTGACTTGCTAGAAGATTCTCAGTAAATAATGTGGCTTTGCTATCTTTGTTTTGAAGGCTCCGTGAAAAGAATACAATCGGAAAGGTGACAGTCTTCCTAGAGTTAGAAATTAACCTAGAGGTCAGAATGGCTCAGTGCTTTTTTTTTTTTTCTTTCTACCTGTAGGGTTGCATCTGAACAATGCCAGTGTCTGTTCTGGGCCACTCATTGAATATTCTAATTTGAGACAGCAAGAGCCTATGAATAACCTGGTTACTACCCACCTAGAGAGTGTGTTGTGTGTGTTTTTGTTGTCATGAAAGAGTTTAACTGCTTTATTGCATTACTTAATTATAGTTCACCTATTTCATCAGCCGCCAAGCCCATTTCCAAATGAGTTAGGTCAGTCTCTGTTTCCCCAGTTTGTTTAGATATTTCTCTGCCACTAGGAAAGTTCCTGTTTGAAGTTCTCTATCATATCTCTATACTCTAATCAGGTCTGCAAGTCCAATCGTTTTATTCCAAAGCACATGTAAAAAAGACAAGGCCACCTGGCATTTCTGAAATTGCCTCCCCACGCCAAACACAAGATTACCTAGAAATACTTATCCCAAATGTCTGTTCTTCAAAAGAAGATATTTATTTCAGATTTCAGCAAATATTTTGTTATGGCTTTGTGTGTGTGTGTGTGTAATTTATGTCTATTTATGACTGGAAAAAATGTAGATGCCTTCCGTTTCATCCTCGGTCTCAAATACATTGCAGATTTAAATTGCTACACATTCATATGATCACTTGGTTACTTTTAAATTTCATAAATATTTGATATTGATGTTCTTGTTTTCTATAATGGGAAAGTATGACCCAAGTTGCCATAGAAAAGCAGGGCTAAACTGAGAAAGTTCACACCTGGATTTGCTGGCACTTTTAGTTTACTGAATTCTAAGTAAAAAGGATTGAGATTCCCCAAACTGGATAACACATTTATAAGTAATCTACAATTTTAGAACTGAAATACCATTTCTAATCTTGTGATTGGTCCAGAGCAAAGACGAGAAATTTTCATCTTGAGTTCTGCAATCAATGTTTAGAAAGGCTCTCTATCTAAAAGCCAACATTTTCATTGATACCCAAATGGGCTTTTGATCATGTTCCTGAATACCATCTCCAAGACAGTTTAGTCCTACTTCATTGTACAATGACAGAGAACTGAGCAGAACAAACATTCTTTCCTGAGAATATGAGAAGCACAGGTCTCAATGAGACATTGGCTCAGCTCAGATCTTTTCTGTTGGCCCTGAGAGTTTATGAACTGCCTGAGTGTTGACACCACCTACCTGCCTTCCTCCATCATCTTACCATGTGAACAATTTGGGTAACTGAGGTGTGTGGTTCAGCACTGGGGCTCAAATCCAGGAGGTGGGAAAGAAATGAACAGTTACCAAATGCCTACTGTGAGCTAACCATGTCGTGTGTTAAGTGCTTTATATGTATCATCTCATTTATTCCTTAAAATCACTGTATGAGGGGTGCCTGGGTGGCTTAGTCGTTCTGCCTTCGGCTCAGGTCATGATCCTGGGGTCCTGGGATCGAGCCCCGCATCAGGCTCCCTGCTCAGCGGGGAGCCTGCTTCTCCCTCTCCTTCTGCCTGCCGCTCCCCCTGCTTGTGCTCTCTCTCTCTTTCTCTCTCTGTCAAATAAATAAAATCTTTAAAAAAATTATCACTGTATGATGTAGGTATGATTAGCTCTGTGACAAATGAAGAGACTAACCCTAAGTGGAGTCAAATCCTTAGAGATAGTAAACGGCATGGTTGTTCTGGAATAATGTGTGAGGAGCCAAAGGGTCTTAGGATTATCAGAAACATAATAAAAATTACAGGTTCTAATGAAGAAGTTTCAGGGTAGTCTGGGGGCTGCCCCAAGGCTTTGAAACTGTTATGGGGACAAGCATATGTACAAGAATGGTATCTTTATGGTATCACTCAAAATCAGGCACAGAAAGGACATGACTGTTTTCTTAAGCTGTGCTAAAACATGTTGGATTTTTACTTAACCTATATTCAGCATTTTTAATCAACACAGTTCCCAGGATATGACTTTTATTCCCAAGTAGTCATTACATCATTTGACTGAGGCCTTATTTCTGCATTTGCCTAGTTGTATATTAAGTAAATCAATCAAGGACAAGGGTATCTATGTCTTTTTCTATTCCTTGTATCTTTTTATAGTATTGTGAATTTAATGTAGTATTAATAAGGGACTAAGTTGGAATCTACAGCACATTTTTTTAAAAGATTTTATTTATTTATTATTATTTTTAAAGATTTTATTTATTCATTTGAGACACAGAGATACAGAGAGAGAGAGAGAGCATGAGCAAGGGGAGAGGCAGAGGGAGGAGAAGCAGGCCCCCCACTGACCCAGGATCTGGGACCCGGAGCTCGATCCCAGGACCCTGGGACCATGACCTGAGCCGAAGGCAGACGCTTAGCCATCTGAGCCACCCAGGTACCCCAAGATTTATTTATTTTAGAGAGAGAGAGAGCGCAGCAGAGAGGGGCAGAGGAGAGGGAGAGAGGGTCCCAAGCAGACTTCCCACTAAGCCCGGAACCCACATGGGCTGGATCCCACGACCCTGAGATCACCCCCTGAGCTGAAACCACGAGTCAGACGCCCAACCCACTGCACTACCCATGCACCCCTATAGCATATTTCTGTTAACAGTGAGAAAATAAACATGCTTCCTTGGTTAAAAAAAAAAAAAAAAAGTACAATATTCACCTAGTTGCTTTGGAAAAATTGTATTTGAATGCCTTCTGTCCGTTTTTGCCCAAGAATCTTAGATTTCCTGGTTAATGATGGTTAAGAGATGCAAATGGCATGTAAGAAATCCTCTTCAAAGAGACTGTAGGTTAAGGTGTGGTTCCCACAACTGTCAGGCTTCACTCTGAATATAGGCCTATGCAAATGGTCTAAGTAATAGGGCTGTGACTGCTGCTGGGAACATTCCTTTGGAAGACAATGGGAAGACTCCCCAAAGCCCTAATAGGAGAGATCCTTAGGGAGGAGCACCCTGACAGCCATGGCCTTGGTATGGCAATTCTGGAACCTTTGAAAAATGAAGTAATGCCACTGATTCAATGTCCTCTGGCAATGCAGTTTATGGAAAGCTGGGTGTTTAGTTACAGGCCAAATAGAGATTTGGTGACATTCTAGGTTAAAGCCATGATTTCGTTAACATGGATACTATTTATAATAGTACTTTTTTTTAAAGATTTATTCATTCATTTCAGAGAGAGAGAGAGAGCAGGGGGATAGGGTGGGGTGGGAGGGTGGGGCAGAGGGAGAGGGAGAGAGAGAATCCCAAGCAGACTTTGCACTCAGAGCTGGTCCCAGGGCTTGTTCCCACGAGACCACCACCCCAGCCGAAACCAAGAGCCAGATGCTTAACCAGCTGAGCCACCCAGGCACCCCTATAATAGTATTTATGATACACAAGACGATTTGATAATTGTCCTGAAAAAAATGTTATCCCTTAATTTCTTAGGTCAAAAATCCTGAATTGTAAATTTGAGGCATGAAAGTGAGCTAAATACAAATCCTCCTGAAAATATCCTCAGGATAAGGGAGGGGGGAAGCCCCCCTCTCATATTTATATATAAACACACACATGTTTATATATGTCAAACTTTATAGTTTTGAGTCAAGAGACAGAGTGTAAAGAACACAGAGTCCATACCTCTGTTTCTTTATTTTATACTTTTAAGAAGATTTATTCCTCTTTGAGTCTCAGTTTTCTCATCCGTAAAATGAAGATCATAGCTAGGTTGTCAGGTTTTTGTATATAGATATGATAAATATGATGCTATTATAAAATAATAAAAAAGCACTTTTAAAATTAGAGCTATTATCATCATCATCAAGTAC